TCATCATCAGATCACTGTACGTACTATCATGAGCATTGCACGTTGTGCTTATGAAAAAACCCATCATTAGACTTTTGACATTAGCAAAAGATTATTGTGTTGATGATGATGATGATGATGATGATGGGAGAGGGATCAGATCCGAGTGATGAGTGGATGGTTTATGAATTATGATGATGGGGTAAATAATGAGCTGATGAGGCCTAGGTTGCATGCCCCTTTTCCTCTTTTCTTGAGTTGGGATCAGATCAACATGGTAAGCCACTTACTTAGCTACAGTATTGTCTTTTAAAGAAAGGCAACGCATTTTAATTTGATCCTATTGCCCAACACTTTTTAGATGGAGCAGATACACCATATAATAAGTTTAATCAGATGTATGTGAATATTTATACCAAAATTAAGGTTTTGGTTCGAGTGGGATGGGAGGGATTTGAAGTACAATCGAAACTCGATTGAATTAGTTTTATCTTTCAGAATGAAGATATTGGTATGAAAAAAAAAATGTAGACATCTATGATAGATCTATGTACTCTAAGTAAAGATGAGAATTAAGGCTATATTTGGCAAGTCTAGTTGAAAGTTGAAAATTAGTTAAAAATTGAAAAGTTATAAGGTAGAAGCGGAAAAATGAGAGTTGTTAAGTTAATTAATTTTTACTTAAAATAATTCTTTGTTCAAACCAAAATAATCATGATTGGGATTATTTTGGTTAACAATTGCATAATTGAGGGTGAAATTGAGCAAATTTAGAAGTTGAGGACGACCAAAATGGTGAAATCCTAATATATAGTCGAGGGATCAAATCGGGTATTAACTCTTATTTAAAATATTGGTTGAGTCATCTTGAAGATCTAGGCATGTTCTAAGGTTGGGTAACTACGATGGTTTGAGGTAATTAATTTTGTTGAAATATATTTCACTATTGACACGGTTCCAAAACTGTTCATAATTACAAACATATAGTTCAAAAATTATGAACATATAGTTCTATAATTATGAATATAGAGTTGTGAACATAATTATGAACATATAGTTCTGTAATTATGAATATAGATATTCAATATTTGTGAATATGAAGTTCAAAAATTATGAATATATAGCTTTATAATTATGAAAATATAGTTAAGGAATTATGAACATAAAGTTATGTAATTGTTAATATAGAGTTCAATAATTATGAATATGAAGTTCAAAAATTATGAATATATAGCTTTATAAAGATGAACACGGTTCCGCAGCATAACGATTGGTCTCCACATCGTGTTATTCTTCTTTTTAAAGCAAGGCAAAGCTTGAATTAAATTAAGCCATAAATAATGTTAGGAGGGACATGGTCTCAGTTCATTTACCTGGAAAGATAAATTTACGAATAGAATGATTTGCTGCTAGACTTGTTGTACAAAGAACCAGCCAGCCTGAGAAACGGCTGAAACGGCTAATGTATAAGCTAAAACATTTGCAGATTTAGGAACAACGTAAATAAACCAATCCAAAGAAGTAGACCAAGTAGTCCTGCAGTCATCAACTATCAAACCAACATACGAACGAACCGGAGCGTGTGAAGAAAGTATATTCCGAAGCTCCAATCGTTATGCCATGGAACCGTGTTCACCATTCATGGTGAACACGGTTCCAACGCTGTTAGTACACCGTTATCTTTTTTTTTTTTTTTTTTTTTTTTTTTAATTGCGTGATTTTTCTTCTCAATTTTCACATTTCGCGGTTTCACTTTAATTTGAGGTGAGCAATGATTTCGGACATTCATAAATTATGAATTCATGCCTGCACATTCACTTTGGAACCATGCCTACACATTCCCGTCTGAAATCACGGACATTCATAAATTATGAATCCATGCCTGCACATTCACTTTGGAACCATGCCTACACATTCACTTTGGAACCATGAGATTATGAATTTTCTGTTATAAGATTATGAATTTTCAGTTATGAGATTATGAATTTTCAGTTATGGGATTATGAATTTTTTGTTAAGAGATTATGAATTTTCTGTTATGAGATTATGAATTTTCTGTTATGAAATTATGAATTTTCTGTTATGAGATTATGAATCTACATTACATTCATAATCTCATAATAGAAAATTCATAATTTAATAAATATTTTACTTTTATGCGATTATGAATTTTCTGTTATGAGATTATGAATTTTCATTACATTCATAATCTCATAACAGAAAATTCATAATTTGATCAAACGCGCGCCGTTAACTCCACATCCGCGATTTTTTATTTTTATTTTTTGATAAAAATGACGTCGTTTGGACTTGTGTTCACCATTCAGGGTGAACACGTTTCTAGGGCATAATTTGCGTCCGAAGCTCCCCACATCGTGTTATTCAAATATGTGACAAGTGAAGAATTCAGGCCCTTTTAAAACCGAAAATGTCAAAAGCCCAAAATTCATTTGATGGACTCGGGCTGCAGTGTGGCCCAATAAACTAGTAAAATTTTTTTTTCTGAAGATAATAAACTAGTAAATTACCTTTCAAAAAAAAAAAAAAAACTAGTAAATTAAGACAGGAAATTTTAGGTGCGGTGTGGAGCACTCACTAGAAGCGGCGAAGATGACGATTGACGACGAGAGCTCGATTTACGTTGGAGGCCTCCCGTACAGTGCCACCGAAGAAACTCTCCGGCAAGTCTTCAATATATACGGTTCAGTCGTCGACGTCAAGGTCCCCCCTCCCACTCTCTTTGCTCTCCTGTATACACTCACGCGCATACGCTTAGGCTTATTCTTAGGGTTTAATTTTAAATTACCCGCTCTTCTATTGAATTAACTATAATTATCTTTTAATTTTCGTTTCAAATTCACACTTTTCCTCGTCAAAGGCAATGTTCTAAATCCAGTGGCCTTTATTTCTTTATTTCATCACTTTAATTTCTATTAGTTGTAGCTGCAATTTTTTTTTTTTTACATTTCAATTGGCTGAAATGGTTAGTGTTGGTATTAGGGAAGACGGTGAAGCTTGAAAGTCTGAGTTTACTCTCTGCTTGCATAATACAAATTCTAGAATTAAAATGCATAAAAGAAGCATAAAATGACTTTAACCACATGGTGGCTTGGTTATTATTTGATTGAACTGTGAAACTCAGGTTCTGTTCTTACTGTTATAGTAAGAACTAAGAAGTCTGGTTGTCTGATGTTTATAGTACAGTAAAGTAAACTGTTAGCTATAAAAGTATATCTGTTATCCAGCTACTATGGAATTTATTCAATTTCTTTGTATAAATGAATTAGCTTTTTACTTTAATTGTGGAGTGTGCTTTGTAGCATTCTGGTAGTAGTAGTTATTCAAGAGCCAATTCGGTTTATTACTGTGATTGGTTTAAACCCATTTCTGGAGAGTGGCCTGTTGCATATTTTGTGTTTTTGGTTGTAAAAACCATGTATGATCTATTTGTCTTCCATAACTCTTTCTGTTTATTTAATATTTCTATGCAAGATATATCCTGTTAAATGCATTTTGCATGTTTGATTTCCAGATAATTAATGACCATAATGTTAGGGGTAAGTGTTATGGATTCGTCACCTTCGCAAGTCCTCGATCTGCCCAACAGGCTATAAATGATATGGATGGAAAGGTATATCTTTATGTTGTTTGACTACTGATTATTCCTTAATATTTTAATTATTGTTGGTTTATCTGAGTAATTTTTTTAAAAATAATATTATTTCTCTTCAATTCATTCATTCTTGAACTTTTCCTAGACCATTGATGGAAGGTCTGTAAGAGTAAATGAAGTCAAGACCAGAGGTGGCAGGCCAAATTTTGGTCCTCAGAGTTTTCATCATCACACTAAGAGAGGGTTGGATGGTGATAAAGACGGCTGGGACATAGAAGGTGATTATGATTATGATAGACTTAGGGATGGACATAAGGATCGGTCTCGAGACCGCACTCATAACAGTAGAGGATACCAACGAATACATAATCAGGACCGAGAAAGAGATTATAATGTTGATAGAGATAGATCTCAAGACTACAGAAGAGACATGGTGGATTTTCAACGAGAATATCAAAGTAATCACGGTGACAGCTCTGAAAGATACAGAGATCAACGTAGAAAGCGGCAAAAGTATGATGATAATCATGAAAACAGAGACAGGGATCTAATTTCTAAGTTACCTAATGGGTATGATACCCTTTTGCACATTTGTATGGTGCAACTGATTAGCACAATAATAAGTGGTATTTTTTTTTCACAAAGTTATAGGAGCTTTTTGGCAACCTTATTTGTAAAAATTTTAGAATAAAGTATCTTATTTTGATAACTAAATTTTAAGCAGGTCTAATTTAGGTCATCGCAATAATAGAGATCAGTCGGCTGAATCAAGTGAAAATAATCATGATCAGGTATGTTTATTGTAGTTTCAAACAGCTTCCTGCTTTTATTACGTGCAGTTTAGCATACTTAGCTAATTAATATATATTCGTACCTTTATTCAGGCGGAAAAACAACTGGAGGTTTCAAATAGAATGCTTGAAGAACTTCAAAATGAGGTATATGTTCACTTAGTGCTTATACTGATGGTTAAGATTGCTAGTCCCAGAAATGATTGAACCAATTAAGTACAAGGGTTTGATTTTGCTCCATCTAAGTATGTTATCCTTGATTATGTGTATCCTGTTTGGCCTTTTCTATGAGAAGGGAATACCAGAACTAAAACACTTATTTCCTTTTATTTAAGTTGAATCTGTTGCTTCATATATGTAGAGCTGTCAAAACGGGCCAGCCCGTCTCGGGTTATGCCCAACCTGTTTTTTATACGGGTTGGGATTTTACAACCCAACCCGTGGTCTGACTGGCTGGCGGGCTAAATGGGCCAGCCCTCCAGCCCATCCTAAAATTTAAAAAATCATATTAAATAAATATAATATATGAAATATGAATATATGATTTATTTTATTGATTTATATCAATTATCATTTATCAAACAAAATTGGTACATTACATTTTACTCCGTATATTTTTACACAAATAACCAAATATTTACACAATTACACAAAATTAGTACATAAAAATTTAAAATGTTCTAATTCATTCAAGTTCCAACTTCCATTCTTCCAACACAATGAGTAACTGTTGTGTTCTCACGTCACGGGCCAGAAAACATAAGGAAAATTGAATAGAGAATAACAATTGGAAAATAAAGAGAAGAAAACACTGGGTTTGCTTGAGACCCAAAACTCCCTTAGACCCAATTTGGGATTCAATTTCTGCTTCCATTATTCTCAATAATACTCCCTTTTTATAGGGTAAAATACAACTCATAGAATGGCTAAATAAGCTAAGTAATCTGCTGAAATCTTCTAGTTTATTTAGAGTAACTATTTAGTAATTTCTAAATAACTATTTATTAGTTTCTAAATAACTATTTAGTAATTTATTAATATCTAAACTATGTAATATAATAAAATAAGACTTCCTAAAATCCTGGTCCCAAGCATGTATTATTACTCCCCTCTTGGACCACAAGCTTGTCCTCAAGCTTGATAACCTCGTGCAGCCATAGCCAACACCTCCCACGATCGAATGGCCTCCTCAAAAGATGTACAAATGGAAGAACCTCAACTGGCATTCTACATATCAATGGAGGAGCAAACAGTGGTGAGGAAGACCCCAAACTTGGACATCCTCCTTTGAAGGATTTAGTTGGAACAGCAACATTGGATGATGAGAGAGACACCAAAGATGAAGGCTCACCAATACCGTACAACACAACCCTTAAATGAGATGGGGTTGGAGAGTGGTGAAATAACCCTCCCACGCATAGGACGGTTTTTGGAAAGGGCACAACCTCAATTTCAGTAGAGTCAACCGCCTTTTGTGTTGAATCAACATGAGGTTGATCGACTGAAACGTTGGCTTGCATCGGCACTATCTCCACATGTGGGTGGTCAACAATGATTGTTGATGATTCAAGTGAAGTAGCCTCATCCTTTGTTTGCTGAATTTTGGAGAGAATCGGCGGACGCAAGTCCTTCAGGTCAGCGGAAAGTTTGCGTAAAACTTTGTCTAAGTGTTTCAACACAGTCGCTATTTCTGTGAGAGCTTCAAACTCCGACTGAGTGATGCCCATGACGCCGGCAACGGAACCAATGTTGTGTTCTCACGTCACGGGCCAGAAAACATAAGGAGAATTGAATAGAGAATAACAATTGGAAAATAAAGAGAAGAAAACACTGGGTTTGCTTGAGACCCAAAACTCCCTTAGACCCAATTTGGGATTCAATTTCTGCTTCCATTATTCTCAATAATACTCCCTTTTTATAGGGTAAAATACAACTCATAGAATGGCTAAATAAGCTAAGTAATCTGCTGAAATCTTCTAGTTTATTTAGAGTAACTATTTAGTAATTTCTAAATAACTATTTATTAGTTTCTAAATAACTATTTAGTAATTTATTAATATCTAAACTATGTAATATAATAAAATAAGACTTCCTAAAATCCTGGTCCCAAGCATGTATCAGTAACTAATTACTAAAAATTGTTTAGTGAGAATGTGAGATAATGTTTACCTGGAGCAGTGGAGCTACTGCCGTAGCCCGTATGCCGGAGTGCCGAACGGAGAACTGGAGAAGGGAGAAGCTACTGCCGTATGCCAGAGACGTCGACCGGAGAACTGAGAAGGGATTCTCGAACTGTCAAAACTCAAAAGCCGAGTACAGAGACCGGAGTAGGGTGACTGGGAGAAGGCCAAACTGCCAGTTGCCGTTGTTGATGTAGTGCCGGTCGCTGGTCAGAGTGGTCGCTCTTCCGCTTCAGCCTTCGCAGATCGCAACGACGCAGAGATCAGAGTTGTGGAATACTGGAATTAGGGATTTTAACCTAAACAAAAGGGGTGAGAGACGAGAGAGATAGGGGAGAGAGGGAGACCTGGAAAATGTCTTCCGACTAAAAATCTAGGAAAACGTTTTCCACCAAAATAAGCCTTTTATGTATTGTTCTCTAGAGCCCACATTGCTGGAAGGATTGAGCTCTTCTTGTGAGTAAGCTTAGTTTTCTTGCAACTCAGTTTGAAGTTAACCATTAATGCTTTTCCAGGTACCTCAGATAGAGGAAAGAGTGCAGGAAAAGATGAAGCTGGTATCGGAGTTACAGGAAAAACTCCAGGTTGAGATTTGTTGCTGTAATGTTGAGACTTCTGCTTGTCTTGCATTTCTTCCACTATTTCATTACAGTTCATTTAGTTCTCTAAGCATGCTTTTAAATATAGACTGCATGCATCTTTTGCTTCCATCATATTGTTTGGTGACTACAGAAACTGGAGGATTCACTTAAGGCTGTAAAGAAGCTTAGGTCACAGAGACAGCTGCAAATGTCTAAGGTAATTCCACATATATGGTTTGTTATTCACTGTTGCACATAGAGAACTCTCATTCTTTGCTATGTACAGTTGTACAAAAGTTTTCTCCATGTAAGAGACAGTGGTGAAAGACTTAAAGCTTCTGAACAGGAGCTGCAGGTAGAGACTCTATCTTTTCATAAATGAGATATCCTTTGTTAATTGTATATTTGTTCATTCTCAGTGAAAAGGTTTTTTTGAAAAAATGACTTTTTTCAAACACAATGTATATCCAATATTCATGAAATTCTTCTCTCTTGTGCTAATGGAAATATCATCTCTCATGAAAGGTAAGACAATACTAAAATAGCGAAAACATGTGTGCTTCTATTTTTGTGTGTGGTTTGAAGCTGTCTTAGAACCAAAATGTTTCATATATTTATGTCATGTTACATGGCCAAATAATGAACTTTCACTCTGATTATTGGAGCATGTATGATTTCCAAGATAATTGATGTAAGTTTCTTTCTTATAGTCACTGGTCCACTCAACAATGCTGGAAATGGACTGTGACGATGGTCTGGGTATGAAGGATGTATCCTGAGGATTGGCGATCCCTGAGGGGTCTGAGAATTCAAATTGCTTGACGTTTGTTCTCTCTATCCCTCATGTTCCATGGAAACTGCATGACTTGTATATTTATGTCTCTGAATATGACCAAGGTAGTCCTTTTTTTTGGTCGGCTTTTGTAATATCAAAACTTTTAGTTAGCCTGTAAGACTGTAATGTAGTTGCTATTTGTTACATAGAATTAATTTCACTTTTGGTCCCACGACTTTTGAGTTCTTATCACTTTTGGTGCACAACTTTGAATTTTTTCAATTTTGGTGCCTAACTTTGTTATTTTTATCAGTTTAGGTCCTTCTAGCCAAATTGACGGTAAAATATTTCCAGATTTTATATTTTAGGGGCAAAATCGTCATCCCATGGAAAGATCTTCAATATTTAAACAAAAGAAAAATCATATTAAGAGGAAAAGAAGAGTTTGCCAATGGTCGAAACTATAAATCCCATAGATCTGTCTGGTTTCTGCCCATCTTCCCCATTATTCTCATCATCAAACACCTATAGATATGATTTTACGGTGATCTTGTTTAGATATTGAAGATGTTTCCTTGGGATGAAGATTTTACCCCTAACAATATAAAATCTAACAACATTTCACAGTCAATTTGGCCGAAAGGACCAAAATTGATAAAAATAACAAAGTTAGGCACCAAAATTAAAAAATTTTAAAGTTGTGCACCAAAAGTGATAGCACATCAAAAGTCGTGGGCCGAAAGTGAAATTAATTCTTGTTACATATACATATCTCTGAATGGATCAAAGATGTATGCAGTTGTACGTGCAGATCGATTAACATGAAACTTGTTGTTTTACCTGTATTGATTGTTACAAGGCTTTTAGTCCTGGCATTTTTTGTTATTTGCTGTACTGATCATTATTGGACACTGGTGACATGTCAGGTGTATGAACAGATTGATATGTAGTGAGATTTCAGTGTCTTGTCTTTATTTTCCGATTGTTTTGAGCTGAATCCGGAGTTGTCAAAGATCATTGCCTCACTTGTCGAATCAATTTAGCACCACTGGCACTGCATATCTTCAGAGAACTTACTTTTCTGAAGAAATCGTTCCAAGTTTTCATAGATTGGTGCTGAATTGTAGGCACCTCTTTTGGATGGGATAGCTGGCTTGGAGATTTAAGGCTGTTTCATTCCCAAAGCCAAGGATCGAATCCTTGACCTTTGGTTAAGGATGGATGACTCCCTTCTACTCAACCACACCTTCTCCCTTCTACTCAACCACACCTTCTAAGTTTCAGAGGTGCTCTTTGAATGTGCAACTAGTAGTTGATACTATCCGATCCATACAGATTAATCTTGAATTGTATGCATTTTCTTGCACTTGCATGCAGAGTTTATATATGCAGAGTTGCAGTACGATATATATATATATATATATATATTTGGTTTGGTTTGGTTTGGTTATAAGTTTTCAGAAAAAGGGTCAAATATGCCCATGAGCTTTTGGAAAAAGGGTCAAATTGGCCTTTAAGTTTTATATGAGAAAGCAATTGGACCCAAGAATTTTAAAAAGTTGGTAATTTAATTTATCATTTTGGTGCATTTGGGTCTAATATAATAATTGGTGATTCATTCGGTTAACTGGTGATGAATGATTGCGACTTTTTTATTAACAACATTCAACAAGCCAATAGTCAACGATGGTTATTATGCTATAGGTTATATTTGATTGATTTTTATAATTAAGTGTTTAATTGTAACATTTTAAAGTTCATGAGCTTTTTTTTTTTTTTTTTTTTTTTTTTTTTTTTTTAAGTATGACCATAATTACTGATCTAGGTTCTGACTAGGTTTGGAACAATCTTAAATCACTCAAATCTTAGATTTTTTTTTTACGTTAATATTTATTCTGTAATATTTTACTATTAACTACTACTAAAGTCTTAAAAAGTTTATAATTATTAAGTCTTTAAAAAATAAAAAATACATGAGAGTCTGAGGAGTGCTTAGCAAATTTTTCAACATATGACTATATGAGTGAAGATTAAACTTATAAGCTGTCATTTCTTTCATTGCTAATAATATGGTAAGTTACATACTAATATAATTTGACATGTAAATGGTTAATTCATATATAAAAGGGAAAATAATTTTTGTAGATATAAAGAGAATCGATATAAGAGTTTTCAGATGTCCACTCAATAGAGGTGCTTGCAATTTAACGAAAAAATTAGTCATTGTGTTTGACGGTGAAAACTCTGAGCTACACCCAAAAATATAAGAGTTTCACATATAATTAGACTACAAAGCTTGAGCCCAAAAAAAAAAAAAAAAAAAAAAACTTTTAAAACAAATTAAATGAGGTTTGATATGAATACATATTCCAAGAATATAAACAACTCTTTTCCGGAATAAAAACATATGGGGATTGTACGGGGCCAACATGGCACTTTATGAAATGAAAAAGGATTAAATTTCATGTGACTGCCACTGATAGCGGCATCTCTGCACCTACTATGCATTTTGCATGCCTTGATGCTGTAAATATATATAAAGCTCGCTGGACCATTATATTGCCCAAAACTTGGGAAAACAAATTATAACCAACTTTAGTTTTTGATCGAATACGACGAACAAATTAAATCCCATAATATATATAGATGGTATGCAAGACAAACACCCTCTTTTTATTTATTTATTTATTTTATTATGCCCATATATATATATATATATATATATATATATATATATATATATATATATATATAAGAGTATGATATTATTCTCAAATAATTAATAATGTAATAATAGTTTTAAGGAACTTTGAGGCACAAAGAAAGGTCTTAGGTTAATTAATGATAAAAGCTTTAGGAACATCGAGGTGAGCTTGATCCGGAAGCGGATGTGAATGCTACCAAGGAAGATACTAAATTAATTCTGGTAGGGGTAGGGGAGCTACACTTTTGCTAGGTTGCAACTTGCAAGGATATTATGTCCAAAATGGATATTTAAAAAATCTCTCATATTTTGCGAGCTAGAAGGAATAAATGTGTCTATTTTTTAACTAATCTTGTCAAATAAGTGACTGATGAACTTCTATAATAGATCAACTCTTGAACAAATTGAAGATGCTATTGACGTTTCGTCTTGGAGAGTGAATTTGTAACAACTTGTATAGTCATTTGGTCGCACCAAAAAAAAAAAGAAAAAAAAAAAGAAGAAAAAAAGAGAGGACATATTTAGTTACTAATTAAATCCATGATTTTCATCTATATCTCGATGAACTAAAAACTAAATTACTATTTGTTTATCTCTCAATGGATTTCTTCCATTACCAATTTCTTCTTTAATTCTATTAAAACACCATCAATCCACTTAGACAATTTAGTGATAATTTGAATGTTGAACGTCATGCCCAAATTAGCTGCCAAAGCAAAATTGATATATAATTGTTAGATGTTAAATTTGACAACTCATTTTATTATTGATAACATAGTAATTTATTTTTTTACCCTCAAATTTCATAAAAATAAAATCAGAATTTGTAACAAGTATTTAAATACAAAATCATTATTATTATTATTATTAAAGTACAAAAGATAGTCACTTACAAATTAAATCTAAAAAAGTTACAAAAGACTAAATTGGAATTTAACTAACTCCAAAACAAATCATAATTAATTAATGGCCTTTTTAAACATTGTAATTAATTTCCGAGCTAAACTTACCCTACTCTTAAATCTAAATCCAAGAATTAATGCTACTAAAGTACACTAATAATAATAATAATAATAATAATAATCAAAGAAATTATAATTAATTTAGAACTTGAGACTAATCTCAGTTCCATTATTCCCCACTTCACCTTCCTCCCTTAAAACCAAAACTTTCCTCTCCCCGCCGCCGTTTTCGCTACCGCTATCGCCTTTCCAGCTGCCGCCGCTGGCCGAAGACTTGCCGTCCTCGATGCTCTCTGACCGGTCACCGGAAACGGGGGAGCTATGGGTATGTGCATGGGAGGGTGGCTTGTACATGTGGAGCTGGTGGTGGTGGTGGAGGAGGGGCTGGTGCAACTGGTGGAGCGGCGGCGGCGGCGGTGCTGCGTAGAATTCGTGATGGGCCACTTGCGGGGCGGCGGTAGCGCAGTAGTGCTGTTGAGCATGGACGGTTGGGTGTGCACCGTAAAGGGTAGCGGCGGCGACGGAACCGCTGTGGGTGGCGGCGGCGGTTGCGTACTCCGGTGGAACCCATATGCCCCCTAATACGACGAGCTGTGGTGCTCCGGTGGCGGCTGTTTGTGGACTCGGGATTGGTCTTCTGGTGTGAAGTCTGTATTTCTGCATATCAAAAACAAAAAACAAGTCAAAGAAAAACCAACATTTGTTACACAATTTCTTGCTTACAAAAGGCGAAATTTCTTGACCCTAGAACACACACCCCCGCCTAACAGAATGGTCCAGGGGTAATTAGCTGAGAGAACCCGATCAGACAGGAGTCCGGTGTAACTCTCAAATTATGATTGGCAGGGCTCGATACTCTGTCCTTACCCATAATCTACCATTCAAGAACGAATTAAGTTATTGGTGTTGACAAGACGAAATTCACTAGTCAACAATCCCGACAGAATAATAGAGGGGTAAATTAAAGCGACTCAGTGAGATATTTGTTGCAACTTTCTGATTCTACTTCTTACACATTACTGCACTTAAAAGAATATGCAGACACAGCAGTGTAGTACTAACACAGAAGAAAAGGGGGGGGGGGGGGGGGGGGTAATAGATAGATATAGTTTTGTGTATGTATACCTGGAGATGGCTTTTAACTTCATCATTGGTCAATCCATCAACCTTCATGAGTTCCCTGATTTGCTTTGGGGTGGCAACTGTAATCATTGCCCAAATATGGATTAGCTTAAATTATCAGCAATAATAATAATAATATCATAATACTAACAATAACAAGAAGAGACAAGAAAATCAGAAACACAAAACTACTTTTTTGACCATCAACATCATTTCAGGCCCCATTCAAGAAAATCATGTCTGAATGTATATATGAAATACAATACATATATACCTTGAGATCCACCAAGCATCTGAAGAGCATTAACGAAACGTCTGTGCAGATCAGGGGACCAACATCTTCTAGCTTTCCTCTGAGGCTGAGTGGCGGCGGCGGCCGCCGCCGTGGCGCTGGTGGTTTGACCATCTGGTTGACTCATACTACTTGCATCCCCGCTATGATTGTTGGCCTTACTAGGAGGATTATTCACAATAATTTCTGAAACATTATTATTATTATTCTTTTTGTCTGCTTCTACGTTGTCTTCACATGAAGAAGCTAGGGCTAGGGTTGGGGCAGGAGGGCCTGAAGAGCTTCTGTCTTTGGAAAATGGAAGAAAAGCCCCAGGCCCCCCTCCACCATTATTATTATTATTTCTCTTCTCAAGGTTTCCTGCTTTTGGGCTCATTGAAAACCCTATTATTTCATTTTCTTTTGGAGAAGAAGCTACACCAATACTGGGATGTTGCTTCTTCCCTGCGCCTTCATTTCCTTGATCACTCCATAGTTGTGCTGACGTCATCCAATTCGCCTTGTCGGACGCCATGTTTGCCGCCGCCATCGCCATCTTTTCTGCTCCTCCATTATTATCACAACTTGATGAAGAATTCTTGAGTGGAATGAATTCTTCAAGAACCGGCCTCGTCCCCCCTTGATTATTCGCCTTATAAGATTGCAATTGCTGCCTTGAAGCCTCCATAGCTGCCCAATTACAGATAAATTCTTTATATTCATTAACTAATTTAATCTCCTAACAAAATATATATAAAAAAAGAAAATTGATGCATCCGATGAGCATTATATTACCATTCTATCTATAAATGTGTTCTGTTAATTCCCAGAATGGAATAATTTGAAAATGATTATTTTGAATAGTACTACCAAGATCCCACTATGCCTAAAGATGAAACATGCATCTAAAGTTGTGCACATTAAAAGCCATTTCTAACTTCCAGGCTGCATGTTACAATAAAGATTAACAAAAAATAAATAAGGATTAAAGCAAGCTGCTAAGGCACAAATTTTCAGACCAAGATTAAAACTTTATTTCAGACAAGTAACAGTGAAAAAGTAAATTTAATTTTGTGTGGCATAAATATACATATAATGAATTACCATTGGTGAGGAGTTGCATGCATAGGGGAAGCTCGCGTTTAAAAGCATCGATCTTGAGGCGTTCTTCTTCGAGACGAGCGAGGAATTCTTCGAGCTTTTGGGAGGTTTGATGATGATCAGTTGTCGTTTGTTGTTGGTCTCCGAAGGATTTTAGGAGCATAGAGTAGCTATGTTGTGGTTTGCAGTCCAGGCTTAGTTCTGAGGATGATGCCATCATGATGATGATGATTATTATTATTATCTTTTAATTTCCAAGTAAAATGCAAGCTAGCTAGCTAGAAACTACAGTGATTGTGTGAATGTCAAGAAATGTTCATACTCAAACTAACAGGGAATGGAAATTGGGTTTGAAGATGGGATGAGATTAAAAGGGTGGCCAAAAGAATAGTTTTGTCTGAACCCAAAGTGTGGGGTGGAATGGAGAGAGAGAGAGAGAAAGGGGAGAGGTGTTGTTTGTGAGCACAAGGGCAGGAGGACAAATGGGGGGGAGACTCTTCCTTTTAGAGAGCTGAGTTTGAAGGAGGGAATAAAGTGGGGTTTTTAGAGAGAGAGAGAGAGGAAAATAACAGATAAAGAAAGAGGGAGGCCGGGCAATGGTAACTTCTTGCAAAGGGCAAAGACAAAAAGATATACAGTGAATATTAGGGTTAGTACTATCTTACATTTCATATTTTATGCATCCATATACTATATATTTTAACATTATTTTTCTTTCCAAAAGGTTGAACCCAACCCTAGGGTCCCCCACACCCCGGCCCAACAGAGCATCTGGGAGGATGTAGTAACTCAATTGAATATGAACTATAGATGCTAGACCTTTGCTTACTGCGCACAAGGAGCCCCTCACTTTGAGAGGTTGCTCCCACACTGCCGCTGGTGAGACTCGATCTCTAGTGCTATTTTAACATTATTTTTTGGTGAATGATTGATAAATTCTTTTTTTTTTTTTGGATAGGAATGAAAATCCACAGTTACTATCTGAAGGTGTGTATTGAGTAAATTTTAATCTTATGTAATAATCCAGAAACCATAAATGAGAAGTAAACCACCCAGGAAATATCCCATTTAACAGGTTGGATGGGTGATCTAATGTATTGATGGATTATCCTTACATTAATTTTTAGTCTAAAAAATTAAAGTTCTTTTACTATTTTTTTTTTCATAACAAGAAAAAAAAAGAGTTTTCATATCAGAAACAAATGATACTTAAACAAAACTATAAAAATCTTGACTGTACAAATTAAGCTAACAAAAATGAATTCTTCCATAGTTAATGTTAATGTTAATTAATGTAGAATAATTAATCCTAGGAAAGATAAGTGAACAGCACTAAAGTGATGGCATAAGGCTAAAATGGGAGAAGGAATCAGATAGATAGATAGATGGGTTCTGACAGGTGAGGGGCCGATCATGTGATTAGAGAAAGAGTGATTTTGGAACCTTTAGAGGCTTTAATTTGGGACAGTCATCTTTGCACGAAATCACATTATCTCTCCCATAAAAGATGATTCTTCTTCTTCTTCCTCAGCTCCTCCATAGCACCTTAGCTTTTCTTTCTTTTTACCCTTTACTCTTTACTCTCTCCATATGCACATACATAAACTAACAACATCCACTTTTGTTGTGTATATTTCTATTACTATTCTATATTTGATTCATATACTAAAGTGCACATATATGCATGCATGCTACCTGCTATTATGTAATATAATATGGTAAAAGAAGTGAACTTTTTGTAATGGGCATTGGCCATAAGGGAATTCAAATATGAAAATACATTGCAATAAACTTGCATTGAGCTGAGATATATTGCAGAACAAGGTATATATAGTAGACCATCTTACATGGGTGGAAATGAAAAGTCTAAAATTTCGACGGATTGAAGTGGTCGGAAACATAACATTTGCAGTTGAGAATTGGGTTATTGACTAATTTTAATTTTCTACCACTTTATGAATTCCAAAAATAATATTATTGACCACTAGTTGAAAGTGGTCAGAAAAACTGTCCACCAAAAAAAAAAAAAATTGTCAAAAAATTTGGATGGCCGGGTTAGGTTATTAAGGCAAATTATGCTGTGCATCCGTATGCACCATGCATGGCGCATATGGATGCAAAAACGATGTCGTTTTGTATCAAAACGCGCGTCCTACTTTAAAAAAAATCAGTTTCGATTTCCAGCAACAACATTATGTTATTCATTTTTTAGTTCATTCATTCTGGATTTTTAGTTATGAAATTCTGAATGTGTAATTATGCAATTCTGGATGCAATTCTGGATTTATAGTTATGAAGTTATGGATGTGTAGTTATGCAATTCTGGATTTATAGTTATGAAATTATGGATGTGTAGTTATGCAATTCTGGATGTATAGTTATGAAGTTATGGATGTGTAGTTATGCAATTCTGGATTTATAGTTATGAAATTATGGATTTGTAGTTATGTAATTCTGGATGTATAGTTATAAAATTATGAATGTGATGAAATTATAGATGTGTAGTTATGCAATTTTGAATAATTTTTTTTTAAAAGTTAGACGTCAAAACGGCGTCGTTTTTGCATCCGGATGCACCATGCATGGTGCATACGGATGCACAACATAACGATCCGGTTATTAAATGTGTTTGCTAATTGTATTCCATGTAGTCATGAAATTGCACTTCACTTGGATTCACCTAGCTACTTCGAGGTTCGAACTAAACTAGTTAGTGTTACGCAAAAAATGAAACCTTAATCACGGGGCTATATATATAGGGTGATGTTCCAATGAGAACTCCTTTTCCTGTGAGAACCTGTAAACTTGTACATAAATGCATACAATCTCATATTTCAGACCACAGAACACACAATTTACTCCTGGAATAGTTTATGTGCATTTATGTAGACCATTTTGTGCATTCATGTTGATTCGCATGTTCTCATTTGATCATTAATATATATATATATATATATATATATATATATATATATATATATATATATAGTAGCCCACAAGGTTTAATTAAAGACAAAGTACCTTAGTTGGTGACATAGTTGTTATTTTAAAGGGATCAAGACCTCTTAATATTTTAATCGCGTTTTGAAGATTTTGATTTCTCGTCACTCGTCAAAAAGATTTTTTTAACTCCGTCCATGTTTGTAAGTTTTATTTTATAAAATTTTATTAATAATTAATTTATTATTTATTATGATAACAATGATATTGTTTGTAAGTTTATTTGATTTTAAATTGTTTAATTATTTGCCAACTACTATATAATGTGAATGTGTAATGGTACTTGTGTTACTATTCCAAATGGGTGGTCACAGGATCAGGTGGTGGCAGTATTGATTACGTAACTTTATCTCCTTCTGCTTGTGTAACTGCGTTGTTCGTGCTATGTTTTGATGGCAAATGTCAAAATACCACTACGCAAAAAGCTATATATAGTTAGTAGTGATTGCACAACTTTATTTCCTTCTACTTGCGTAGCCGTCAGCAGAGCAATAAACGTCACTTTTTTATCGTAGGATGTTAGACTCGGGTCTCCAAACCGTCGCCCAATAGAGATTACGTACATGCATGCCCATTATTATTTTTGGGAAGTCTTGATTAGGTGGAATAATAATATTTGAACAAAAATGTGAATTGAACCTGCAGGCATGGGTTCCAATCAATTCCATTCCCCTAATTTTAGCATGAGTTGATCTATCCGAATAAGAAAAGAGAGGAAATATTCAAAAATGGTGTTTAGTATCAATCCAATAAGCAACAAAGTAAGTGTATAATTGATGAAAGTATCGAAGCAAGATGTATTCATGTTGAAGAGACAGACATTAAATTTCATTCATTTGTAAAGAATATAATATTGAGAGTGCATAAGTAAGGAATATCTGATCTGAGTTAATTCCAATTCTACGACTCTAATTTTAAGGGAACAATATATTGCCTACAAAGCTTAAAAGCCAGAAATTGTGTCTCTCTCTCTCTCTCTCTCTGCACAACAGAATAATTCCATTAAAACACCTTAACTCAATCCTCCTCCTTTGGGAATCTTCTTCTGCTACTTACTTTTTTGAAGTGGGTTGGAAGGTAAGAAGATTCTCTCTAGCTACTTTTTTTTTTTTGGTTTTTCTTTTCTTTTTGTTAGATTATTGTTAATTGATTCTAAGTAAAATTCGGATCTCTACCCGAATATGATTCTTGCTATTCTGTATTTTTTAAAGTCGATATATATGCCAGGTATATGAGAGGGTTAATAGATTTTTTTATAAAGATTTTTTTCTTTTAGGGTTTTGGCCTAGCTACGCTAGCTAGAACATGGAATTGGATGGCTAAGATGAAAATCAAATTCAAATGAAATGGTTGGACTAACTTTTGTAGATTCTTAATTATTAAAGGTGTTTGATATAGCTTGTAAAATCATTCAAATCATATTTCACTGTCTAAGAATTCCCAGAACTTAATGGTCATGATTTACTAAAGTTTAATATATATTTTTTTCAATAGAAAAAAAAAAAAAAAAACAAAAACAAAAGAGACGAAAGAATGACTAAAATAATTTGTATTTATTAAAAAGGATTTTGGCTATTACAATTTACAAAGGTTTAAATATGCTCTGAGAGTACAATAATTTCTCAAGAGGATTGAAAGTGACCAATTTAATGTGCAGTGTCTCTCCTCTATTTATGGTAGCAGATGGCAGATCGTATTTGCGTGTGACAAAAAGGTGGAATCGCCCACTACTTCAGCTGTCCCTATATTTCGGTTCGATAAATTTTTGTTCATTGCGCACAAAGAGACCCTTCATTTTGAGAGGTTGCTCACACATTGTCACGGGCGAAACTCGATCATTGGTCTATTGTAACAAATTTCACCCCTGCAAATCTGCAATCAATTGAGTTGCCCATGCGGGCGGCAGCTTGTATTTGTTGTTTCAATCACCGAGTAATATTAGTTGTTAATAAAAAGACGTTTAATAAATTAGATGAGAAAATTATATTTTTGGTCCTGTGACTATTGTGGTCTTGTTAATTTGAGTACTTGACTTTAAAAACTATCAATTTAATCCTGTGACTATGTAATTTTTAACACATTTGGTCCTTCCGGCCAAATCGCCGGTCAAATGTTGCCGGAAAAACGTAAACCTTTTTAAATTTTTTTATTCTTGGGGGCAAAACAGCCATTTTACATTAAAAAAAAAAAATTTGTTTGCTTCCTTCTTCTTCGCGTATGAGCGACGGTTTCGCCGGATTCCGCAGACTACCTCACTACCTCCACCGAACTACGTCACTACTACATAGTCATTTCAAATCATTTTCTTCCCCATCCTTCACGGCGGAATTGAGCGAGACCACCTAGACAGCTTGAAGGACGAGACATGCAACGACATCGCCGGAGAATCCAGCTCGCATCCTCCAACTCTCAACGCCGGCGACATCCTGCAGCAGCAGGGGAAGAGCGCCGAAAGGCTATCAACTATTGTCGGAGTCGCCATCGTCGAACTGAAAAGCCAAATTCGTCGTAGTTCTAGTACGC